AGGAAAACTAAGAGAATTTGTCACTAGCAGATCTACCTCAAAAATGGCTAAAGGAAGTTCTTTAAACAGAAAAGAAACAATAAAACAAGGAATCTTGGAATATCAGGAAGAAGAAAGAACATCGGAAACAAAAAACATGGGTAAATACAATATGCTTTTCTTCTCGAGTTTTTTAAATCATGTTTGACAGTTGAATTAAAAATTATAGCATTGTTTTATCAGGTTCTAAATAAATGGGGAATATTTAAGAAAATATTCTATACTTCACTCAAACTGGTGAAATGATGACATCAGTAGACTGTCATAAGATATATATATATATGTATATATATATATAATATAATACCTAGAATAGTCACTTTAAAACTTACAAAGAGATACATTCAAAGACATTATAGATAAATCAAAATGGAATTTTAAAAAGTTCAAGAAACACACAGAAAGGCAGAAAAACAAAAACAGAAATGAAAAACAAAGAGCAAACAAAATAAAAAATAACAGCTTTAATCCTTAACATATCAGTAATTATATTAAATGTAAATTGTCTAAATATACCAATTAAGAGATAAATTGACAGAGTGGATTAAAAAACATGACCCAATATATGCTATGTACAAGTAACTCACTTCAAATATTATAATATAGGCAGGGAGTTAGTAAAAGGATGAAAAAGATATATCATGAAAACAATAAAAAGAAAGCAGGAGTGGCTATATTAATACCAGATAAAGTATACTTTGGAGCAAAAGAAATTACCAAAGAGGGGCAGAGGGATATTATAGAACATTTAAAAAGTCAATTTACTGAGAAGACATAGCAATCCTAAATATATATATACCAAAAAACTGCTGCAAAATATTTGAAGCAAAAACTGATAGACCTGAAAGTAGAAATAGACAAACCCACCATCATGACTGGAGACTTCAACACCCCTCTGAACGATGGATTAGAACAACCAACCAGAAAACCAAGAATATAGAAGGAATCAACAATGCCATCAACCAAGGGGATCTAATGAACATTTTAGAACTTCATCAGCAGTATACATATTCTTTTTAAGGTGCCATGGAACATATACCAAGGCAGACCATGTTCTGGGCCATAAAACAAATTGTAAAAAGTTTTAAAAAATTGAAATCATACAGGGTATTCTCCAACTGCAATGAAATCAAACTGGAAGTCAATAACAAGAAGATAACAGGAATTTTTACAAACATCTGGAAACTAAACAACAAATTTCTAAATAATCAATGGATCAAAGATGAAGTCTTAAGGGAAATTTTTAAAAATATCTGTTGAGCTGAATGAAAACGAAAACAGAACATATGGACACTGCCAAAATAGTGCCGAGAGAGAAATTTTTTAGCACTAAACATACACATTAGAAAAGAGGAAAATGATAATCTAAGTTCCCACTTCAAGAACCTAGAAGAGCAAATAAACCCAAAGCAAGCAGAATGAAAGAGATAAAGAGGAAAAATCAACAAAATTGGAAACAGAAAATTTTAAAAATCAGTGAAACAAAAAATGGGTTCTTTGAAAAGCTCAATAAAATTAACATACTTCTAGCAGGACTAACAAAGGCAAAAGGGAGAAGACACAGATTAACAGTATCAGGACTGAAACAGAAGATATCAACACATATCTTGCAGACATAAAAAGGTCATAAAGGAATACCACAGAGCCTACACACTTATTTGACAACTTAGACACAATGGACCATTTGCTTAAAAAACACAAATTATCACAATTCATCCAGTATGAAATAGATCATTTGAATGGCCCTATATCTATTAAGGAAATTGAATTAATAACTTTAAAGCTTCCAAAAAAAGAAATCTCCAGGCTGAGATGGTTTTACTGGAGAATTCTACCAAATGGTTAAGGATGAATTAAAACCATTCTACACATTCTCTCCCAGAAACTGGAAGAGCGCTTTTCAATTCATTTTATGACACTAGTTCTACCCTGATAACAAAACTAGACAAAGATAATACAAAACAAACAAAACCAACAAAAAACAGACTAACATATCATGAATATGGACACAAAAATCCTTAAAATATTAGCAAGTAGAGTCCAGCAATACATAAAATGAATTATTCACCATGATACAGTATGGTTTCTTCCAGGGATGTAAGGCTCAATATTTTAAAATCAATCAATGGTTTCTGCCATACTAAGAGGTTTAAGAAGAAGGATCACATGATCATGATAATATATAGAAAAAACATTAAAAAAAATTCAACATCCATTCATGATAAAAACTCTCAGAAAAATAGGAATAGAAGAGAACTTCCTGAACTTGATGAAGAGCACCTACAAAAAACGTTGCAGCTAATGTTATACTTAATGGTGAAATACTGAATGCTTTCCCCCAAAAGCTGGGAACGTGGCAGGGATGGCCTTCTTCAATAAGTGAGCACTGTTACTGAATCTAGTACTGGAACTTCTAGCGTGTGCAATAAGGAAGTAAGAGGTATACAAGTCAGAAACAAAAATGATACTGTCCCATTTCTAGATTACATGTAGTTTATATGGAAAATCTCAAGGAATCTTTTTAAGAAAACTCTTAGAACTAATATGTAAGATCAGCAAGATCAGGGTAGCATGGCTGTAGATTTAAAGATTTTAATCTGTGTAACATGCAGAGAAGCAAAACCAAACACTAAGCAATGAAGTATTGAATAACATTTTCCAGGATAACTTTTTATAAATATTTTTGATATGCCATTGTGGGCTTCCCAACCCCAACTTTTCTAGGAAAAGAAAGATAGCATTTAGTGGCAATTATCCAGAACCATTGGGCTTTAAAAACTAGTAGAAATTTGGATCAGTATTTACTTAGTGCCACAAATTTTTATGTCCAAGGTAAGCTCTAGTGAGTATAATTCTAGATTTTATGATATTAAATAAAATACCGAGTGATGTGACCTGAAATTGGTATGCTGGGAGACACGGAACCCCTCTGTCCTCAGGATGGTCAGATGGATTGAGCTTGGAGTAACCAGAGCCTGTTAAAGAGGATTCCTCACCTTATCATCAGGAGCCCTGGACTCACTTAAATATGGCCAAGGAGGGGCACTACCACCTGGCCATCCACTTCTGCAGCCAACAGTTGTGTGCACTGCTGCTCATCAGAGACAAGGAAGCCATGGAGTTACTGGAGCAGCTGGTGTTTCAGGTACCTAAAGTGATGCTGGCCCTGGGTGTCATGGGGCTAAAGACTGGGCCACAGCTCTTCACAGGTGCAGCTCCAGACAGTCCAGCTTTCTGCTCCACTGATGTGTCTGACCTTTGTAGTCAAAGCTATGGGCTGGGGGACGATTCTAAAACTATATGTACATTCTGCAAGTTATAGCTTCATTATTTTGAAACATTTGATTTAAATATTTCAATTTGATTGGACATCCACATTATAAGATTTCAATTTGACTGGACATCCACATTATAAGATATTTCACATTATATTTTGTCAATGAGAGGAAGTTATTACATTCTTTAAATTTTAATTGTAGATTATTGAGATTTAATTCATTTACCATAAAGTACTCTTTAAAAGTATACAATTCAATGGCTTTTAGTATATTCAGAGTTGTGAAGCTACCACCATCTAATTTGAGAACATTTCATCACCTAAAAAAGAAACTTTCTAACTATTAGCAGTCGCTCTCCATTTCCTCTATCCTCAGCCCCTTGCACCACTAAGCTACTTTCTGTTTCCATAGATTTGTCTATTGTGGACATGTGATATAAATGGAATCATAGCATATGTGCCTTTTGAGTCTGGCATCTTTCACTTAGCAGACTGTTTACAAGGTTCATTCACATTGTGGCATGTATCAGTACTTTGTTCCTTCCTAAGGCTGAATAATATTTCATTGTATAGATACCATATTTTGTTTATCCATTTGTCAGTTCGATCATAAATTTTTGAATGATCATAAAAAGTTTAAACTGTTGTGACACCTACTTGTGCAAACGAGTTTCTTGTAGATGGTTTTTATGAAGAACTGAAGACATTATCACTATAAAGTCTGAATCAGGAATTGTAGGCATTTCAGCCTGTTGTCAAAAAAGTCACATTACCAAAAGTAAGCCAAGTCTTTTATTGACATTTTAAAAATTAACTTTTGGAAGTGTTATACAAATTTAAAAATTTCTATGAAATGTACAATTTAAAAAATCAGAATTCTATAAAAGATACGTAATGAATTTTTTTTCTCTAAGTCACATGTATGTATGCCGAAGCCCCTCCAAGTTATTCCATTGTGCCATGCAAAAAATTTTTTTATGTGTTCCAGGATGTGAAAAATGTTGGAAAGCATGCATTAGTGCCTCAGATTTTAAAGAGGATTCCTCATAGGGAGAGAGAGATGGTTGCTCTTAAGATTCTTTATGTGGCTCACTGAGAAATTTCACATATTTATAATTTTGCAAATCGATCCTACTTCCCCACAAAATTCATCCTTCATAAAATGCTCATGGCTATAGTTGTCTTAAGTGCTACAGTTCCTGTCTGAAGACCTATGGGTCAGTTTTATGGAGAGTAAACCACTTTTTCCCCCTAGGTTTCTTGAGGTATAATGGACAAAATTTTAAGATATTTAAGTGTACAACATGGTGATGATTTGATATAAGTATACATTGTGAAAGGATGACCCCCATCTAGTTAATTAGCACATCCATCAACTCACATATTTATCTTTTTTTTTTTATTTTGGTGAGAACCTTTAAGTTCTACTCTCTTATTAACAAATTTCAATTATACAGTGTTATCAACTATAGTCACCATGTTATACATTAGATCCTTGAGTCAATCTTTGAATAGGCTGGATCTAATCCACTGATTTTTCTCTATGACTAACAAGATCATCTCAGTTTGCTATTATGATTTTGTGACAGCAGTTAATGAATACTATGTAAAATATTTTGTAAATCAAAATGTTCTCAAATTTAAAGCTGTAAACTCTAAATTTGAAAATAACACACATGCCATATACTTTTATATCATTTTATAGTTTATTTTTGAAATGACAGTAACAAATGCTTTTCCCTTGTTGGGGAATTACATATTTATTTTCAGTGGGCAAAGCCTTAAATGTAACAGCGTTTTGTCCAAATTGAATTTATATAATTGTACAAAAGTCATACCAAGCATTAAGAAATGCTAACAAAGACTAGTTCTCTCAGAGCCTCATGAAGCACACCCCAAGAGGCCCTGATTTCATGGGGACCCTGATCTGAACAATACTGATGCTCACCCCAAGTTCCTCAGTGACACAAAGGCAGAGGTAAGAAGAGCAGTCAGGAGGACCCACATGCTTTGTGACTGTGGAATTCTGCTCCAGTGTTAGGGTTTCATGATGTATTCATCTTCTCATTGTATGAGGAGCATTAAACACTTCAGCCTGAAGTATATTAGCCTGGGCTTAAAACCAAACCCAAACAGCTTAAATTAAGAAAATTAGAATAAAAAAAAATTAACCAAGCCATAATAACCTCTTCCAAGCAGGGTCCTTTATGCGGCCCTCGCTTAGTTTCTAATATACACACACAAATAAGTTACATTATCAGCTGTTACATGCAGGTTGAGGGATGGCAGTTAAGGTCTAACTCCTATTCTGTTTTATTGGTAGCAGTTGTCAGAAACACTGTTACAAAGGACTCTGAGGCCATAGCTGCACTGATGGGACAGTCGCTAGGCTTTACTTGTGATCTCTGACGTGGACACAGGAGAGGGAGAGGCAGCTCTCATGCGTCTCATTTGCAATCTTTCTATTATTAAGAAAGCTGAAGAAGGTACTGGTTATGAACATTTTGAAAAATATAAAAGTCCGATTGTTCTATTTTAATGAGTTACAATGTCTTAATCTGGAGATTTAACTTGTTTCATGGATCTTAATTTCAATTACAGTATAATTATCTATGGTAGGAGTTTTCCCTTTCTGACCTTATAAAAATTAATGAGAAAATAATATTCTGAAAGAAGGCGTACACAAAGAAAATGAAGTCACTCTCAGAAGCACCTCCCTAACCTGGGTACTATGACTTGGGAAAAGGAGTTTTTATTCCAGCGTTTCCACTGCTGTTTCAGATAAAAACAGTTCGTGTTTCCTGAAAAAGGGTGAAAAATAGCGATTCCTAAAATAAACACATAAAAGTATGTGGCAGAGGCTATGTAGATCAGCTACCTTCATTTAGATTGTATCGTAAAGATGCGACCTCATCTATTCACTTCAAGGAGAAAAATTCCAGTGGAACATTCGAAAGATTTTTTTTAAATCCAGGTTTTCATTACAGGTGAGCTTGGTATACATGTGAAGTATTTATTATACTTAGACATGGAGGGAAATGTGGAGCGTGTCTGTGGTTTGGCAAAAACTAGGTGAGATTCCTGCTCTCTGCACAACTGTCACTCTCGAATCCTAGATACACCAGACGGACCCTAAGACACTGCTCTGAGAGGATCACCGTGTCATCTCTTGATAGTTCTGATAGTGTGATTGACAGGTTTAGCTGTGGTGGTTAATCTGGGACTCAAAGGACAATGATACCTGGGTCAGGAACTAAAAGTCACCAGAATTCCACGACGGCATTCTAACTACCACTTGGCAACAGCTGCAGAACCTGACTGCAGTCTAACTGGAAGGAGTCGGTTTCGTGTCTCGGTATGCTGCTATACGTAGAAGGCACCTAGGTGTTCAGCTAAAAAGTTGAAAGCCGCAGAAGATGATTTTCAGGAAGGAAAGGAAATTCCTTATTCCAGGACTGTAAATGAACAAAAGAAACCCAATTCAAGGGTTCGCAGAGGCCCAGAGAATGAGAAGCACAAGCTGAGAATTTGGTTTTAGCCCCCTCCTTTTAGAAAGCAGCACAGGACTAAGAAGGTGGAGGGAGGGCAGGCATGGGGATGACGACTCCAGCTGTGCATCCATCCATTCCCACAGCTGCAGGACTGTCAGGACACTTGTATTACTTTGGTTTCCAACATTATCTTTGTCTCCTGATGAAGTCACTGCCTGTCTGTTTTGGGCTCTGCACCTTGGGTTTTCCTGATAAGATGGGCAAACCTTTAGCACTGTGGGGAGTGTTAATCCCCTAGCTTGTGCCTCACGAATACAAATATTTTCTTAAAAACCCACAAATGTATGGTAACAATCAGCATGTTTTGTACATCTTGGGCTCATACCCAGGTTTAAAGGAGGGGAACACACTAATTCTTAAAGCTTCCCTTTTAGACAGAAACTCCCACAAATATTATCTGCAATAATCCAGTGCTGTTCACTTTGCAAAGTGAGTTCTTGTATGATTGCATCCAATGCTGTGTTGAGGGAAATATGCCCTTTTAATGCTACTGTCACACAAAGACAAGGATCATAGGATATTTGATCTTGGTGGGTTCCATACTATATTTCCTGTTAGCACTAGAGGAAATCATAGAATGATAACAGGAGTATCTTTCTGAAAACTGGGTGCCATTCCTCTGACTTTAACGGGGTAAGTAGAGGACCTGTCCTTCTTGGCCAGGGCAGCAGCTCAAGGGCGCGCTATGAGGTCAGGCATTGAGCATCTCTAAAGGAAGCATGGATGTCTGGGAAAGGAATCATCTTCGGATTAAGAACAGAGGGATGGAGAACTGGATCTGTAGCAGACAGCTATGCACTTCTCTTTCTCTTCCATTTCCTTTTTCATCAAGAATCAAAATACTTTCCAGGCCCTCGGCAACCACATAACAAGAGAGGCTCAAAACTGCTTTGTTAGCTAATGTTGCTGGAATCTGGACTGTGGCTGAACGGTGAGAACACGGGACACCAGTACCCACGAGGGCTTTGTGTGGTTCCAGAAGATAAGCAGGCTCTGGAATAGGTGGGCAGGAGTTATGGAAGGTATGTAGTGACCACACACAATCACTGTTGGGTGGCTTTTAGTGTAGGCAGAGACCTTGGTGATTTGCTCAAAATATAAGCATCACACAAACATCGTAACAATATTAGGTGGGTCTTAACAAAAGCGCAGAAAGGAAAAGACCTGGAAAAAAGGAATTTTCTATACATTTAAATATGTTAACTAGAATGCATGGACACATGTAACCCGATCTTTCTTTGTTTAAAAATTAAGCTTGCCTGGGTCATTAATTCTATAGAAGTAATGCCACTAAAGTTACAGTAACAGAAATTCTATTTTGCAGATTTCTAGTAACTTAAAACAAAAAAGACCACATACACAACTACATACATTCATACGACCGCTGAACTCCCAAATGGAGCACACATAAAACGCAGACACTCAGAAAGCACATGTGCACGGATGCCAGCGTGCGCCCTTCTTGAACCTGAGATGCTTGTGGTGTGCAATGGGGGTCAAGAGGCCCTGCTGCATATCTGTTCGATGTCACTTATCTCTTTGGGACAATCCGCAGAAAGAATGAGAGGTGAGTCCTGAGTCACCACTACATCATCCTCAATTCGTACGCCAAGACCACGAAACTTCTCTGGGGCATCTCTGTCATCCTCTGGAATATAAATGCCTACGGAGTAGAAATAAAGAATGTGCTATTCATAAATGGAAGTAACTGACTGATTTCAGGCAAGAAAGTTAACCTCTCTGTGTTACAAGTCGTCTGTAAAACTGGGATCTTAACAGTATCTACCTAGAGCTGTGGAGATTAAACGAGATAATACAAGCAAAAGTGTCTGGTACATAATCGTCAATAAATGTTGGCTATCATTACTAGAACTATTATTATAGTTACTTTATTTTATTTTATTATTTTTTTAAATTATAGTTATTTTATATGCTAGATTACAGGCTCCATAAAACTACAATAATGTTGATCATGATTCTGTCACATTCTAGTGGCTCAAACGGGCTACTAAAGTTACTTATGAGTATGTTAGTATATGCTGGGAATCAGTAGATTATATAAATGCATCTGTCTGCCTAATAGGCTCCTAGAAAAAGGGAACTTTCCTAAAATAAAGATCTAAGGTATTTTAAAATGTATTTTAAAAATACTTATTTAGCAATGATTAGCCTGAACAACCAGAAGCTGCAGAAATATTCAAATAAGCCCTTTCACATAAGCCATAAATGTAACAGATGTATACAATATAAAGTAGGAGATTAAAGAGGAAGAGTTTAATGAACATCTGGAAAGTTCTAAGAGCCCAAGGAACCCTTTCTAATCATGAAGTCAGACAGAAGACAGTCTTTTCATTTTAAAGAAACTGCACCAGGTACCGATTATACTGGACTAGATGGTACAAGGGCCACAGACAGCATCGAATGAAAGGTGGTATAAAAGACGTGTCCCAGCTACAATTACACAATTTAGAGATGAAAACACCTGAAATCTAAGAACGATAAAAACAGCATCAGTATTTAAAAGTTGACTCTTCTAATATCGATCTTCACACTCTGCTGTGGCCGCCACCTCTCTGCTGATCTGCCCAGTGCTTGGCATCATGCCAGATGGTGAACCATTGGAACAAAACTCCAGAAAAAAGAACTAAACAAAATGGAGACAAGTAATTTATTAGATGCAGAGTTCAAAACAGTAGTCATAAGGATGCTCAATGATCTCAGTGAGAACTTCAACAAAAAGATAGGAAATATAAAAATGGAGATAGAGCAGATAGAAAAAGAACCAGTCGGAGATGAAGAATACAATAACTGAAATGAACAATACATTAGAAGGAATCAAACAGTAGATTGGATGAAGCAGGGGACTTAATCAGCGATTTAGAAAATAAGGTAGCAGAAAACATGCAATCAGAACAGCAAAAGGAAAAAAGAATACAAAAAGTGAGGCTAGTTTAAGGGGCCTCTTGGACAACATAGAGTGTACCAACATTCGCATCATAGGGAGAAGAGAGAGAGCAAGGACTTGAAAACCCATTTAAAGAAATAATGACGGAAAACTTCTAACCTAGCAAAGAAAAAATAGACATGCAAGTCCAGGAAGGGCAGAGTGTCTCAAATAAGATGAACCCAAGGGGGCGCATGCCAAGACACATCATAATTAAAATGCCAAGCGTTAAAGACAAAGAGAGCATCTTAAAAGCAGCAAGAGAAAAGCAGTTGGTTATCTACAAAGATGCTCCCATTAGACTGTCAGCCGATTTCTCAACAGAAACTTTGCAGGCCAGAAGGGACTGGCATAAAATATTCAAAGTGATGAAAAGCAAGGATCTACAACCAAGATTACTCCACCCAGCAAAGCTATCATCTAGAATCGAAGTACAGAAAAAGAGCTTCCCAAACTAGAAAAAGCTAAAGAAGTTCATCAACACCAAACCAGTATTATAAGAAATGTTAAAGAGCTTTAAGAAGAAGGAAAAAAATGTCAAAAATATGAATAATAAAATAGCAAAAACTACATACCTATCAATTACTATTTAAATGTAAATGGATTAAATGCTCCAATCAAAAGATATAGGGTGTGTGAATGGATAACAAGACCCTTATATACGCTGCCTACGAGAGACTCACTTCAGATTGAAAGACAGAGACTGAAAGTAAAGTGATAGAAAACAGTATTTCATGAAAAAGGAGACAAACAAACACAAAAAACTACGGTAGCAATACTTGTACCAGACAAAAGACTTTAATGAAAGGCTATAACAACAGACAAAGAAGGACCCAGCAATTCCATTTTCTAGTATTTATCCGAAGAAACCCAAAAACTAACTCAAAAAAACATGCATCCCTATGTTCATTGCAGCATTGTTCACAATGGCCAAGATATGAAAGCAGCTTAAGTGACCACTGATGAACGAAAGGATAAAGAAGTGGCACATATATAAATGGAATATTAAGCAGCCATAAAAAAGAGTTAAATCTTGCCATCTGCAACATGGATGGACCTAGAGGGTGCTGCGCTAAGTGAAATGGGTCATACAGAGAAAGACAAATACCGTGTGATTTCACTTATATGAGAAACCTAAAAAAGCCAAGATAGACAAACAAAACAGAAATTCATAGATACAGAGAACATTTTGATGGTTGCCAGATGGGAGGGGGGTTGGAGGATGGGTGGAAAAGGGGAAGGGATCAAGATGTGCAAACTATCAGTTATAAAAATAGTCACAGGGATATAAGATATAGTACGGGGAATATAATCGATAATACTGTAACAACTATGTATGATGTCAGATGGGTACTAGACTTATCAGAGTGATTGCTTCATAATCTATATAAATGTCTAATCACTATGTTGTATACCTGAAACTAATAATATTGTAAAATTGTAATTAAAAAATAATTATTTAAAAAAATGATTTATTTCTCAATATCTACCTACAGAAAGTGGTCTCCATCTGTTTACTGGAGAAGTCAAATTAGACAGACTGTGTGATGTTAAATAAGAAAGCTTGAGAAAAATCTAAAATGAAATTCCCTTCTACATCAAAAAGACTCATTTTCCTGTCTTTTAATGAGATTATGTTGGTTCAGGTAAAAATAAATGATGTTTACTTTTCTATCTGACACTACTATTACGTGTCCCGAGGGGTCAGAGGCTGCTATGCTAGCATCGCCCCTTACCTGGCTCCACTGTGATCACCATGCCAGGTTGCAGAGGGAGGGAACGGGGCATGTCTGGAGTGTCATGGACATCCATCCCAAGGTAATGGCCAACATGATGAGGGCAGTATTTTCGAGCAGCCTGGAAAAAATAATTGCCACAGTGTTTCAGAGCAATGACCCCTTACGGAGAAAGTCGCGCATGTATAAATCAGTGAGGTATGTGTTACTATCTATCTCCCCCCGGGTTCTGCCCCTTATGTTTAACCTGTCCTGGGCTAGTGCTTAAGAGATCTGGTAAACTGCCACCTCTCTATGCAATTCTGCCAATGGCATTCTAAGGCATTCTAACTACTCACATTTCCATTCCTACCATTTAATATACTACACACATGAGACCTTGGACAACCCCAGTAATGACTGTGGCAAATGAAAATCTCTTTTCTTGGGGGATGGAGGATGATTATGTTAGAATAGTTCTTTTCAATGTTCGCACATCCCTCTCAGGAAGTCTACCCTGGAGACTAAGTATCTCAAAGCAACTTGTGGAGTTGCCATGAAACATCAGATAACACAGTAATTATTAGGTATTTAGTGGCCTGGATATTTCTATCCATTAATTAAAGATTTGCTAGCCTGAGCAGGAGGAATTTATAGCTTCTTTACTATTGGCAAAAGAAACCCTGGCAGCCTAACCTTGGAGATGGAGATGCCTTAATGGTCTGTCTGGCTTGACCACCTGGCATTGTAATTTAAAGATGAGGCTTTACATTTTTACTGAACATCATTACATTTTGGATGCAGATGAAATTCACTGAAGACAAGGCCCTTTGAGGATACTATTAAAGTCTTGACTTTAATGTCACTGAAACAACAGACACTCTCCCCTCTGACCTCTACCTTTTCAAAATCACCACAGAAGAATTAAGAGTTAACCTATCCTTCTTTTTGTGTCCTTTACCACCCTGTCTACACCAGACTTCATTTTATGTTTTCTGATGATTGAGGTAGTTACACAGTATGCAATGAACCAGAATGTGCTGCCATCTTGTGGGAGAAGTTAGTACTGACTCCCTTTGTTTTAATCCGCGATCTATGTCCCTCTTACCCATGAAGAATCACAAAGACCATTTCTAAATCTAATTAGCATTACATAGACTAAAACCGAGCAGCATGTCAGGTGTTCTGGAGAGCTGAAGTCAAAAAAAGTGAAATACCGCGAAGCCATTATTCTCCGTAATGTTCTTTACGATCCCCAACTCTTTCAGCTTCTGTCCTGTCAGGGTGATCATCATGCTGTAGATGTTTTCCAAGCTTGTTCCGGGGGAGCAGAGGGTCAGACAATCTCTCTGGATCTCTAGAACAGCTTCATAGAGTTCTGCTTGAGGTGCTGTGAACCTGGGGACAGGAAAACCGAAGAACTCAAATTTGAGTTATCTGACATTGCAGGAAGTTTGTGACAAGAGAAAAATTCTGAGATGCCATAAATTAAATTACAGTGGCCAGAGAGTGAGAGGAAGGGACAGGAATAGTTAACCAGTTAATAGCTGTGGGCCAACGAACAAAAGACTGCTCATATCCGAATGTGTGGGAGCTCTGAATCAACCTCCAGGCATCCATTAGGACCACGGATGCCACAGCACCTTGCATATGCATGCATGGGACTGTTGCCTGTAACCAATCAATAGTAAATAATTCTTCCTTATGGACTGTGCCCCTATCACAGAATTGCCCCTGCTTCACTTTTTCCCACCACCCTCCTCATCTGTAGCCAGTGTAAATTCTTTCAAAGCAACTTACATCTTTCTTCCCCAAAACCCAATGTGTAAAAGTGCCCATCAACTCTAGGATGGCAGATACGTTGCCTTCTCCATTTAGCTCTGTTGCTGGCGGTTCAGACTTCATGCCCCAGGACCTGGTCCTTTTCTGTCTAGCAGTATGGGCCATATAAACTTTCTTTAAAAAAAAAAAAAAAAAAGGTTTCAGCTGTGGAACTATTTTTTGATATTTGCTTCTAAGTTTGATTAGAAAAAGGGCAAGGTGATGATGTTGGGGCACTGTAGACATTTAATCAGTACCCACATATTGTTACTTTAATCATACTCTGAATGCTCAACAGGAAGAACAATAACTCTTCAAGCCGGGGCAGAAACAATCTTTCCTTCAAATAGCAGGTATACACAAGGTGGGGCCAGAAGATGCGCCAGCCATGAACGCAGTTGCAGAGCCAGACCAGGCTCACCCTTGATCCTTTCCATTTTTTTATTATTAAAAAAGAAAAAAGCTTAGGGATCCACTTCTCATAGGCGAAGATGTCGTGGGGTCAACTGGTCGATATTTTGGTTACTAGTAACTTACCAGTTTCTAGGTGTCCAGAATGTGCTGCCATCTTGTGGGAGAAGCATACTGTGTAACTACCTCAAATTATTATAGAATAATAATTTCTTTAGCAATTATGGGAGAAAATGAGAAAAAATTAAGCTAGGGTTGTATATGATATGTACTTTCATGCACTGTTGATGGGAGTGTAAATTAGTATAGCCAATTAACTCAAAGGCCTTCAAAGATGCTCATAAAATTCGAGCTTGTAATTCTGCTCTAAGAATCCTTCCTAAGAAAATATTTGAAATTTAAAAAAAGCCGAATTTAGAAAAATGTTCACTGTGATGATTTTAAAAATTGTAATAGATACAATCTAAATGTCCCCTAAAATAGGAATAGTTAAATATAACAACATAATGGTTAATGAACACCTACATATCCATCTCCCACATTTAGCCGTTATCAACATTGTTGTTTGTACCCATACTCCACCCCACTACAGTATTACCAAATATTTTAAAACAGATTTTTAAATGTAAATTTTACATACACCGAAATGCACAAATCTGAGTTGTATAATTCTGGCACAAAAGGATGTACCAATCCTGATGAAGCTAGGGACACTGAACTCCCAAATTCTGCTGAGTCTTCTCTGCCAGTAGAAGTAGCCCTTCCGTCCATCTAGGATGGAACCCCTAAGTTTTTCTATTAATCCTGTTTTGACTGAGAATCTGTAAGTATCTTCCTGTAGGCATTTGCCTAGCTGCTTCTAGACCTTTAACTAGACTCTACCCCCGCAGGTCATGAAAAGTATTGTTATGAAATGTGTGGGAATGGATATCAACGTGTGGAATAATGGTAGAAGGAACATTAAGTCGGATCAGGCTGAATTTTTGGTATGAATCCCCTAAGCAGAGAGTCTGGATTTGATGTTGTAGCTCGAGGGGTCAGAAAGCCTCTAACAGTTTATTTGGTTGGCTGGCTGAAGGATGGACAAAAAAGGAGCCTACGCTAAGTGAACTCAAGTGCTAGAACCGCCTTGCTCTACTGGATTCTGCCTCAAGACTGCAACAGTAACTTTGGCTCGAGTTTCCAGCCTGTGAGCCTGTCCTGCAAAATTCAGACATGCCAGGCTGTACAAATGTGAGTCAATTCCTTAAAATCAATCAATCATTTTCAATCAATCAACCTACCTACCAACCTACACACACACACACACACGCACGCACACACACACACAGAATATATATATATAGATACATAGATATATAGATGTATAGATATATATCTATATATCTAAAACTATATCTATATATATCCTATCCTATTGGTTCTATTTCTCTGGAGAATTCTGATCCAGACCCACTTCCCTATGATACAAAACACTGCCATCCCCTCAGAAAGTCCATGTCTATTTCTAATCAATACCCTCACCTCCAGAGGTAAATGCCATTCTGATTATTTTCACTTTACTTTTGCCTGTTTTAGAACATCATATAAATGGAATCAACATGTATAATATGTACTCTTTTGTGTTCAGCTTCCTTCATGAAACATAATATCCACGATGTTATTCTGATCAGTAGTTTGTTCCTTTCTATTGATGAGTGTTATTCCATGGTATGAATAGACCACAATTTGTCTATTCATTCTCCTGTTGATGGAGTTAGGCTGTTTCCAGTTTTTGGCCATCATGAATTAAAGCTGTTGTGAACATTCTTGTACAAGTCTTTTTGTGGACCAGTGTTTTCATTTCTCTTAGCTCAAAACCTAGAAGTGAACTTGTTAGGTCAAAGAAACAGTGTTTACTTAACTTTATAAGACACTGCTATTTTTTCCCCAAAGTAACTGTAGCATTTTTCATTACCGAGGGCAATGCACGCAAGTTCCAGTTGCACTACATCACAGCCAACGCTTTCAGCCATTCTAGCAGATGTGCGGTGGTTGCATTTAGTTTGTATTTCCTCAGTGACTAACCATGATGAATACATACAGTTGTTCGTAATATTATCTTATCATCCTTTTAATATCTTCAAGATTTATAGTGATATCACCTTTTATTCCTGACTATGATAATTTGTATTTTCCCTCTTTTTCTCTTTCTAGGGAGTTTATCAATTTGATTCATCTATATAGGGAAATAACCATTTGGCTTTGTTAATTTTCTCTACTGTTTGTCTTTTTTCTATTTCATTGATATTTTGGTCTTATCTTCATTATGTCCTTCCTCATACTTACTCTGGGTTTAATTTGCTCATCTTTTTAATAGCTTTTTAAGGTGGAAGCTTACATTATTGATTTTAAACCTTTCTTCTTTCTAATAAAAGCATTCTAATTAAAGCTAAGCCTTGCTGTATCCCGCACATTTTGATATGCAGTATTTTCATTATCACTCAATTTGAAATGCTTTGTGGTTTCTTCCCTTTCCCTTGTGGTTGCTTCTTTGACCCACAAGTTATTTAGAATGCATTCACTAATTTCCGAACATGTGGAGATTGAAAAATATATCTTATTGCTGAGACATTCTAATTTAATTCCATTGTACTCAGAGAACATACTCTGTAAGACCTTAGTTTTTTGAAACCAAGACTTGTTTCACGGCCCAGCAAATGGTCTATTTTAGCGAAGTTCCATAAGTATTTGAAAAGAATGTGTATTCTGTAGTTGGTGGGTGTGGTGCTCTACAAATGTCAATATAATCAATTTCTAGGCCTTCACTTACATGGCTTGAAAATGTCTCAAAGGTTTCTGAGGTTTTGTTCGTTTTTCTAAAATGTATTTCTGTTTTTTGGACTGAATAATTTCTATCTCTCTTCAACTTCACTGGCTTCTGCTGCCTCCAATCAATCTACTGAATTTTCCATTTTGGTCATACTTTTCAGCTTTAGAATTTCTATTTTTTTTGGCTAATTTTTATTGTAAACCAAAACACAGATAGAGAAAGCCAAACAAACTTAATATATACCTTAAGAAATTATAAGTTAAACACCAGCCAGATTAAAAAACTGAACCTGGCCGACTACCAAGGAAGCCCCTTCTGTGTATCTCATAATAATTACAGTGCTCACAATACGTAATCATTATCTTAACTTTACAGTTACCATTACCTGGAGGATTCCCCATTTGTTCACTCATTGTGCTTATATCTTCCTTTAACTCCTTGAGCATACCTATGGTAGCTTCCTTAAAGTCCTTGTCTGCTAATTGGGATATCAGGGTACTTTAGCATTTGTTTTCAATGACTATGTTTTTCTTGATTATGGGTCACATTTTCCTTATTCTTCTCATGTCTACTGTTATTTTTTTTTTTAATTGAATATTGGAAATTACAAATGATACAATGTAGAGATTCTAGAATTCTGTAAAGTTCTTTTAAAGAGTGACTTCATTAACTTGGCTGGATTCAGGATGCAAACTCTGCTCTCAGTGGGAAGCAACTAAAATCTTTGCTCAGTCCTTTGAATTTCTAGTTGCTGGTATTTGGTGAGCTTCCTGGGGTTTCCTTCAACACATAATTTAGTGATCAGACAAGGATTCGGGAATACTTTATATGCAGATTTTGGGGCTCACCCTGTCTGCAGAAACTGCTCTTTCAGGATTTTCCCTCATCCTTCTGGCTGTGCTGCCAGCACCTAACTCTATCCTCTGATACTTTAAACCAATTAGGCTGTGGTTTTCTGCTGCCCACGCTATGTGGCTTGGGGACGTATCCTCAGGCAAAAAGCCCTAACCACCCATCACAGTTCTTTCAAGGACAGACTTTTATGCAGTTTCTGCCAGTTTCTGAAAGCTCTCTGGTGCCTTTCAATACTTGTTTTTAATATTTTGCCCAGATTTTATAATTATATGTGGAGGGTTAATCCAGCCAAACTATTCTACTACAACCTAAATATTATTTTTGTAATCAGAAAATAAAAACTTTATCTTTTTTAGTGTGTGTGTGTTAAGCAGGTGTTTCTAGGGGCCTGATCCTATGATATGATGAATAAAACAGTCTTAGAAAATAATCAGGAGTTTTGCAAAGGCTGTTAACCTGAGCTAGAGGGGAACTGTATATTTCTTTAGTTATTTATTACAAAAATATCCATGTTCCTAAGAAGCAGTGGGATTCGTATAAGCCTTACCTGCCATTGACAGGCCAGGTACGGGTGATGTCACTCACGTAGCAAGAAGACTCACAACCCCCATCCAGCAGCACCATTTCTCCATCCTGGAACAAAAGTTAGATCAAAGTAGGTGACCTCATGATTGTCAGTTGTTTCTTCTAATTTAAACCCTTTGTGCTTTTTATTACACAGACATACACACACACACACACACACACACACACACACACACATTTTTTTTCATACTAATTTAAAAGAGACTGATCTCTGGTTCCTTCTCACAAGAAACAGCATCTAAATTTTTCAAAAGAATTCACATTGGCTCAAGAAAGGTGCCACTGCATAGGGTTAAGTGCATAGGCTCTGGAACCAGACTGCTTGAGTTTGAATGACTAGGTGTAAACACAGCACATCAAAATGTTACCGTTATTATGTTAATTAACAAAATCCTGTGTAAGTTGGTATCCAGGGCCTTATTCAAATACAATTACCCTTAACCATTTAACTTTGGAATATCATTTCCCCTTCTGTTCCTTCGTCAAAATACATGGGAAGCAAAAACCTCTGGGTATATCTCTATCTTACTACTTGTCATGTTTTGTTTTAGTTATCTATTTATACACTTGAAGACAGGGCATATCTTATTCATATCTAAATAAGCACAGAACTTGAACACAGAATAATGGTCAAATGATTCCATGTATAGTAATGGCAACTTTTAAGAATAGATGTGGTTTTCGTTTCTGGCAAAATGATAGAATAAATTCTCTGTTAGAAAACAACTAGTATTATTTTATACTTATGAGTAAAAAATAACAATATTGTTTTGAGAATCATGTATATGTGATACAAGTCATTTTTTCAAGGGAATCAAGGGAACGACAAACAAAAAAATTTAGGATACCAGTTAGCTACCCGTGGGAGGGAGGCAGTAGGACAGTAGAGCACCAAGTTACACAAGTAGATACAAGGTACCGGTAACATTCTAGCTCTTGAATTGAGTGATGGTTTGCGAATATTCATTAAAAAAATTATGCTGTCTAATTTACTTGTTTGCTATATTTACTCTTTTGAATTTACTGAATATTAAAATAGATAACAAATTAATAAAAAAAATACAGAATTCTTTACTTGCATAGTCATTTGGGGAGAAAACCATAAAAGGTTAAGTACTTTCACAGCTAACATGGCATTCTTAAAATCTGTCTTCTCCCTTATGCTTGGCCCACTGTTGCTACAAGTCCTTAGGGAAGGAGTGTTAAAAAATGAAATGAGCAGAGGCTTTAGCGTAGAATACTTGGCTTTGCGCTACTGAGTTGACCACTGTTTTAAAGTTTATTTCCCTCCCCTATTAAACAGGCACATTAATAACTGCCCTTCTCACCGCACTAATGTGAGTATCCAATGAGATTGTGTCTGTAAGAGCATCTTATAAACCATAAAGTACTTTATAAATGACAGTTATTTTGTAAAAGCTGAAGGTTAGGGGACCATGAGGTGAGTCAATTCTGTAGTAGGGCACCTGGACCCAGAGGAAGCAGCACTGAAGGGCACTTTGTGTACCTTGATGAGTTGATTATTCTTCACATAGTGCAAAGTGTTTGACCGATTACCTCCAGCAACCACAGGTGGGTAGGCTAAGATGTCTGCTCCACGGGCCCGGCATTCAAATTCAAACTGAAAGACAGCAGCAAAGCATGACTGAAAGTATGACAGAAGAAAGGATTTTCTTAGGGCCAGCCCAGCCCAGGCTTTCTTCAGCGGCCCATACCTCCAGTTAAGTACTTATCTTAAGTCATTATTGAAAAACTATTTATCGGCTCCCACCAAACATTTTTTGCTATAATTTCAGGTCACTTCTTTTATTCTCATCTCGATCCTATTATTCAACCCTATTATTAAACCTGTTCTCTCTTCTGAGTGCTTGAATTCCCTATGATTTTCAAATCGTTACGTTCGGAAGAAGACACAGAATACCTATGATCAAGGCTGAGTAAAGAGATAGTCATGTAAAGTTACTGTTTGTTTAGTCTTATTTAGATAAACGCTAGAATATGGCTGCATTTTAAACAGCAGTTCTGAATGACTAATACCAATCTTTCAAATAGCTGTCACTCTACATGCTCTGGAAAAGTGAAAAAGGCTAATAGGCGAATGGCAAACTCTACTGATTTTGCTATGTCCGAGGATGGAGCTGGAGACCGGCGAGCATCCGCTACCGCCTCCAGCACTACTTCCGACTCTCTTCCTGTACATTTACTTAAACAGCGTTCATCTCATCTCACATTGTGTAAACCTTTCCTCCTTCATCAGTTCTGCTTTGCAATTTCTTCATTTAACTGTAGCTCTGCATAGTTTAGACTCATCTAATAAATTACCAGTGACATTTAAGAACCAAATCCTCTCCACTGATACCCGAGTCACTTCCAGTGGAAGCCAACTGGATGCCATCTGCAAATCAATGAAATTACATTTGCCTCCAACGGAAACTTCCCAGGCATTTGCAGCTCACCTTAGCATAAAGAAAACTTTCCTCCACGGGCGCTTTACTGGCAAACATGGTTTCTATAAAAGCCTGCAAAGAGGAGGATGAAAAGAACAGTCTCGTTTTAACTATGTTGCTACTCAAACATTCAAAACATTGGAGCTCAAATGAAAGGCACCCTTTCCCCCAATTTTGTCCACCCGAAGTTGTGACTTTGTGGGCATGATAACATCGATTTCCAAAAGGAAAAACACTGCTTTCAGGAATGTCTGACTGATGACAGATTCAGCCTTCCCAGGTTGAACATACATTGTATCCTGGAATAAGCTACATGGAAACACATGCTTCCGCAGCTTTAGAACGTATGAAATTCTGGATCGAATGGTCCGGTCTACAGTAGAGTTTCCCAACCTCAGCGGCACTAACATTCTGGGCTGGAGTTTTTGTGTTATTGTTGTGGGGACTGTCCTGTTCAGTACAGAAAGCCAGGAGCGCTCCCCAGCTGTGATAATCGGAAACTGCCCAATGTTCCCTGCCCCTACCTAGTTGAGAAATACTGGCCTACAGTATAAGTGTTTTAATTAATTCTCTGTGATAGCCACACTGTATGTGTATGTGTTTTCTATATTTATAAACATACACGAAAAGGGAAACTGTCAGCTATATAATTTTCGATGTCTGTGGGATAAATACAAATCAGTTGCACAGGCATCTACATATATAACTAGCAAGGAATTTCTCTCGTGTCGTTATAGTCTAAAAATGAATGCAATGTGCAAAAAGATTTTTCATAACATTTCTCAGTGTACAGGGTAATGAAATCACCGTAACCCCAATAGAGGAAAAGCGAGTAGGCTGGCAGTGGGGACATCTATGCGGCTTGCTCCTTTTTCTCATTCTGATGGCTCCCCTAATGATTCGTCCTGAGAGAGGCTGTTTCTGACCACCCTATCTAAATGAGCACTTCGCATCAAACTCTCTCCCCTTCCTCTGCTTCATTTTCCCTCATGGCATTTAATTCCAGCTGACTATTTATGTTTGTTTACTATCTCACCTCAACTTAGAATGTAGACTGAGGACAGGGACCCATGAACAGTCTGTTCTGCTCACCACTGTGTCCTTAGAGCCCAGAGCAATGGCCGGCACCATAGTAGGTACTTAATTAACATTAGCTGAATGAATTAGCAATTAAAATTAGTTAATGGATACTTATTTTTATAAATACACAAATGTTGATAATTAACTAGTTAGCACTGTATTTTTAGTGTGAAGTTAAAACAAAACAAAACTAAAAGTGTGGTACTTCTAGTGAGGCTCGTTCACTTTTTATTAATTTCCTTTCGAACCTTTACTGAATAGCACAGAGAATTTTTACAGTCACGGCCCCTTTACACAGCTGTGCAGACTAAACGGAGTAGAGAAGTTCCTCTGGCTCCCTCGGCAATCAAATGCCTGATTTTGCTTTATTTCTTTTTGTAATGCCTATGCCTCCTATGAGGCCACTTCTTCACAGACGATTCAAGTATATATGGCACATGGTTTAAGTGCTACCTCTCTTCACTGTGTATGTGATGTCCTTCCTATAAAGATCAAAGACAGACTGTATGACTGCCACTTCTTCTTAGGGTCGTCTTGTCACGAGGTAGCCCATATTCCTCATTAACACTTGATCGTCTTATTTCACCAGGTGCTATTTAAATGTTTGTGTTTTGATTCTTTCCAAGTGTAAAGTGAGTGTTCTTTGGATTTCACGCTGTGCATCTCATAATCAGAACACATTATGGATGGATGCTACACAGCTGTGGAGAAAGGAGAACGCAGACACAAAACGAAAATGGTTTCATAAAGGTTTCCTGTGCGTGTGGCCACATGCAGATGACGGTGTGAGGGTAGGGAGACCGTGATGTTTGAGATCGTGCCATTTGGAGAGCAGGGAAAGGGCACTCCCGGCAAAGGTGTGACACGAAACCACGACCCATCTCAGAGTCCAGTAAGGCTACGGTGTCAAGCCCATGTGGAAGAATGAGCGGCGAGGCTGGAAGGGTAGGCAGGAGGGGCCGGGCCATGAGAGGTCTTGAGTGAGCATGCTGAAATTCAATCCCCAAAACAAGAAGCCACCGAAGAACTTTAAGTGGGAGAGGGACAGTCAGATTTATAAAGATCACTGGCTAGAGTGAGTTAGACTCAGGCAATAATGGGCACAAGGCGACAGCAAAAGGATACTAGATGTTTTACCATACTAGGTGCAGGCCCAAATAATGCAGTTTGGTATTAACAGGTCTGTTTTCTACCACACTATTTTGCCTCCCTAGGAGTGTACTTGGGGACCAGGTAATTTGATTTCAGCATTGGGGAGAAGCAATTATCTAGATAACTTTCACATTTACATCTAAAGCATTTAGGTGGAGGTCGCTGTTATAACCATGAAAAAGAATACAGGAGGAGAATTAGAATACAGGAGGAGAATTAGGTTTGATAGAACTGGTAGGGCATATGTTTAGATAATTATGGGAAATTCAGGTATATATGTCCAGGAGGCAGGACAGACGTATGTTCGGTTGTAGGAGAGATCTGACCTAGATGAGGTCTGACTCGCATCCCATTTTTATCTTGCCCACACATTCTACTATCTTGCACCCCACTTTTATCCTGCCCACACATTCTACTATCTCTCCTCTTTGTAAAGGTTACTAAACTCTAGTGGCAAGGTCCTTTACTTATTTTAAATCAAACTAGAGTGCAAAAAGTCCAACTGATCAGTATCACATGCACACAAATTGTATCTGGCTTGTTCCCCAAAAGAAGGAAAACTTTTGTTTGGGCTGAACACAAATATAACATCATTATTCTTAAGGAAAGTATTTTGCCTAAATATCCAAAAATCTTACAGAAACATTCTAGACCAGAATTGGCACTCTCGGAATATGATCACTGGTAGTTAGAAGTAGTTTATTAAGAAAAGTAAGGCCAAATTCTATTTCTCTGTCTGATGTCTCTATTGGGTTAGTAGATAAAAGGAAAAGCACAATTTAATACTTCTAAATTTTAGCACAACACTTAAAACAGTCTCTCAGGATAACAAGTGACAGAAGTGTGAATCAGAATACTCCTAGGTAGGTTTATAGCTGATTTTACACCTTACCCAAACATATCTGATCATTGGACTGATCCCAATTTCTCTGGAGCCCTAAACATTATTCCACAGATCTGTTCTTAGTTTTTCTCTTCCTCATTTCAAAAATCAGTGATTTGAAGGAAGACAAAGACATATTACATTTGTTTTAAGTAGTTTTTGCTGGTCTGATCATGGCTAGGACACTGGATGCTGTACTTGAAGAAAGACACTGACAAACTCCTCAGAGCGCATACTGAGGAGGATTACCAAATGAGGGAAAGTAATATGTAAGAGAGATAGTTAAGGAAAATGATGTTTAACTTGGGGAAGACTATAGGTAGAACACAGAAAAGTAGCCTTCAAATGCTTGCATGCTACTATGCTACGAGGTTAAGTCCTGTGGGCCTGGAGTTAGCTTGCGCTGTTTTAGTTTCTGCTTGGATCTACTCCTGGTCAAGGCCTGAAACATACTGATTAATAGTGTTGAGAGGAGTTTCAGAGCAGCTTGTATCAGCTTGTCAATACTGTCAGTGAGATTAATGGTTTGTACGTGGTCTCCATAAGAACTCCGAAGGGCTTTGTTGTTACGTAGCAGAAATATGTCAATATGACCAAAATCAAAAACACCTAGCTGAGATGCCATTCGGAGCTACCTGATTCCCAAGTGTTCCACGCATGCACCTGTGGTTCTTGGCCCACAAGAGAAAATGCATCCTGCCCAGCTCTTACTGAGGGGGGACAATAGGAGCCTGCAGCTGGCTTCTCTGAGGCTTGCTGTGATATAGACAGCCACTGGCTGGGAGAGGTATTCCTATGCTAATGCTGTTGCTATACTGTGCCTTTTTCCTGTAATAACTGTAGATTTGTAAGCATTGTCATTTGGGTCCTATGAGTCTTCTTTAACCATCAAACTCTGTTTACCTGCCACTATTATGGCAGTTATTGTAG